GATTTGGGGATGCTGGACTTTTCATGATTTTGGCGTCAATTTCTTTGTCAATCGTCGCATGAGGTTTCCCACGACCTTGGAGGTGGTGCTCCACATCGTGTGGGCATCGCCGGCTTGCGCTTGGAATCCACCGCGGGTGGCGGGCATGACGGCGTTACGGCGTGACCTGTCTTCTCCAAACATATGGGTTGTTTTCTTTGTTACCCGGGTACCCTTGTTGGGTTGGTTTTACAGGGATACCACAAGGAAAACCACCATTTTGGGGTCCCTAAAAAGACACCCATATTTTCTATTTACTGCCTAGACGGGCGGTGGAATTCACTGTTTTGTACAGTTGTGGGAGGCTTGGAACTGCTCTATGGGACCTTGCCAACTTCACATGGTGCCCATAAGTCAGGTGCTATGTTTGTGGGGAGGAGGGCTTCCATGTGCTTAAGAATCTGTTTTAAGAATATGTATATTTGTCCCTTTGATTTTAAGGGTGAATCTACATACCTGCGAAGCCCATGTGTGCGGAAAAAAAAAACAACGCCTTCGAGCAACAAGCACCAAATTTTGGTCGTTGTTCGAATAATAAAAATAATATTTGTTCGGAAAGACATTTATTCTTGCCTGGCTCTGATAAGATTTCCGGATTTTTCCGCCCTTTTCTGCTTGTTTCCGCCTTTGTCCGGATTTTTTTGCCCTTGTTTGGCTCTCCAAGATGCACACTACCCACGCAACTCCAAAAAAGGTCGAAGTTTGGAAACATGTCGTTTCATTAAAAAACAAACGTGTCTTTCTCGAAAAGACCGGAAAACACACACACAAACGGCTTCACAGGTATGCCTAATTACTGAGTTTCTTTTATGCTTTTCCCCAAAGAAACTTACGTACATGGATGAAGGGTCATGAGCAAACATCCTAGCCGTTTGCAGGAGAATTCAACAGGCTTGAACCTTCGGAGCATATTCATGGTTACCGCTGCATCCCCCTGGTCTACAATTCCGCGAAAGCCTTTTGTGTATACATCAAAGTAGGGGGCCCCTCCCGAAAAAGAAATGGAGAATGAAAACAGACGGCTTCCGGGTTGCAATGTCTAAAAGTGCACCCGTAAATGACAGCAACCTGGGTCTTGTACGTTGATAAATTCGGATGTACAAAGGTTCCAAAGCTTATCCTTTTACGTCCATCACCTTTGGGCAAGCATTGCATACATCCTCTTCTCTAGCCGAGATCGAGTCTTGTGTTGCCCATCTGGCCTTTCTAAAAAGCAGCCTCCCACGAGATGGCGGAAAACAATTACCACGAGGCAGAGAAAACATATTCTAGATGCCTCGGGCCGTGCCTCCTGGCTGGTTCCTCCAGATCCGCCAGCTGGAGGCGGTAACGCCGTTGCTGAGGAGGTAGAGGACAGCCTTATTTTGAGCTCGGCTTATTGGATGTCTCCAGCAATTCTTCATTCTTTGCAAACGCTGAAGATTTGCAAGAAAACATGTGAGCAAAGCTGCGCTGCTCTATCCTTGCCAATCCTGTGAAAATAATTTAAGCGATTAGTGTGTATTGGGAACCCTGTGGACATCATTCAAAGCGATTGGTGTTTATTGGCAACCCTGTGGACATCATTTAAGCGATTGGCGTGTATTAGCAACCCTGTCAACATCATTTAAGCGATTCGTATTTATTGGGAGCTCTGTGGACAACATTCAAAGCGATTAGTGTTTATTGGCAACCCTGTAGACATCATTTAAGCAATTGGTGTGTATTGGCAACCCTGTCAACATCATTTTAAGCGATTCGTATTTATTGGGAGCTCTGTGGACAACATTCAAAGCGATTAGTGTTTATTGGCAACCCTGTAGACATCATTTAAGCAATTGGTGTGTATTGGCAACCCTGTCAACATCATTTTAAGCGATTCGTATTTATTGGGAGCTCTGTGGACAACATTCAAAGCGATTAGTGTTTATTGGCAACCCTGTGGACATCCTTTAAGCGATTGGTGTGTATTGACAACCCTGTCAACATGATTCAAGCGATTCGTGTTCATTGGGAGCTCTGTGGAGAACATTTGAGCGATTGGTGTTTATTGGCAACCTTTGGACATCATTTAAGAGGGGTAGTGTTTGTTGGGAACCCTGTGGACATTAGTTCTGCTTGCTCAAAGAACTTGCGAGCCACAATCAAACCTGCGTGGATGAAGCTTAGTAATGGATACCGTTCTTGTTGCTTTTGTTATTTGCGCCATGGCCAGAACAAAAAAAAACACTCGTTTATGCAACTTGAAACATCTCATGTCAGAATGATAGTACCCTACGCACCTTGGTACCTCCGCCCGGGCTTTTTCGCATCGATCCCAAGCCTTCCAAAGGTCCCATTTCTCCCAGAGGGAGTGGGGCAGGTGTTTTCGCCGGGTCGCAAATGGGAAAGAGAAGTTGTTGCACGGCGCCGGTGAATTTGTCGCCATCACTTTGATGAGTTTGTCGCTTCCATTTAGATTCCGCCAAGCACAAGTCTGCCACGACTCTTTTTTCCCCCGAGAGAAAAGTTGGTTGCTCCGAAGCCCGATCCGAAGCCCAGAGCCCTTCGATACGGAGCGGCCAGGCGTTTCTGCTCTTCAGCTTGTTGTTCACCCAGTCCTTCAAGGTACCCCTTGCGGATCGGACGGGGTTGGGCTGATGGATGGCAGAGTCAGAGGAGGGCGTGTCTGTGCTTTGAGGGTGCCCGTTTGGGGGTCGCTTTAAGGGGAAACCAAAAGGAAGCCCATCATTTTGCGGATTCCCTACCCATTTGGGAGTGCCTCCGGTTCCAGGATTGTACTGGTATCTTGTTGGCCGAGAGAGTCCCTTGCTGTCTCCCATAAGGACCTATTTTGACCCATTCTGACCGGAAAGCTTTTCCCGAGCCACTTTGCTGGATTTTGCTCGATTTCGCGCACATCGACCTCATCGCTCATCATGATGTCAGAGCCGAAGTCACCTTGGAGCACTTCCACAACGTCGACCACAGGCACAGGCTACGTTGGCACAGAGATCGTTGTTTCGGAGCAGAAGAAGATCCACGAGCCTCGTGCTTTGCAACCTGCAAATCTTGCTTGCCCCTGGGATCACAGGGACTACTTGGGTGTTCGGCCATGTTTGACCAAGTCAGCAAGTTGTTGGTAACTTACGTTTGACCCATTTAGAAGACCCCCTTAGTGGGGCTGGCCCTGTTATTTGTGGGTAACCCACGTCCACTGACGAACTGGGCAACGAACATCCAGGTCTCGAACAAACAAGGGGTGTGGTCAAAACAATGTTCACCCCAGATCAATAAACCCCTGGTTGATTTCTTTTAGTTGGGATTCAGACCACTTTTGCAGGGGCCCTCACCCTATTAACAGGACGGGTTCTACTTCGATCCGGGGTCAACATTCGATAAGGCGGCAACTTTCCCTTGAAGCTTCTTCGACCAGTTTTTGGACCCCCCCCCCCCCAAGGTCCTGAGTCTGGGCACGTCTTTGCGGTGCCTTCTTTTCCTGGACTATGCCTAGAACTTTCATTTTTCCGCTGGAGAAAGAAGAAAGACTGTTGTTGTTTTTTTGGTTTTTATTTGTTGACATTGTTTAGTTTGTTTGTTAGTTTGTTTGTCTGTCTGTTTGTTTGTCTGTCTGTTTGTTTGTTTGTTTGTTTGTCTTTCTCCCATGCAAGCTTCTTCAACATGCGGTACACAGTTGCTGCCGCGGTGGTCATTTGCACTAACTGAGCTTATTTTGTGTGGCAAGACTTCCCAAACACCATGGACGTTCCATGACCATGGCCTTTTTCATCATCAGCATAGCTTTTTTGCGTTTCCCAGCCATACCCCTCTACTTTTTAGAGGTTTTGTGTTTAGAGGGATGTGTGACATATCCCACTAGAAGTCTAGCGGACCCAAGAAATCTACGAACCACTGAGGTGAAACACATGCCCTCCTCTCTTGACCTGCAGCTCGAGTACTCTTCGCTCGCCCAAGATCCAAACCCGTTGAGCCCCTTTCAGACCCTGCGCATAGGGCAGCCATGATGGCCCACGCAATCGTTCAAAATGGGAGACCCCTTAACATATGGGAGATATGGGTGTGTCTCCTTTTAGTGGACTCCTGCAAGTTGGTGGCTTTCCTTTTGCTTTTCCTGTGAACCAACCAAACGGGGATTTCGAAATTCACATACCCATATGTTGCTTCCTTGTAGCTTCCCTTGACTCACTTCCTGAGTCCTCAGACTTTAATCTGCTTGGGAATGCCATTTTGCTGGCAAACAAACTTCACTGTTCTTGGCATGTTGTGAGTTTTTGTTCTGTTTGTTTTTTAGCAGGCAGCTTGCACAAAAATAAGTTGTGTACTACCAGACCAAGGGTTGGAAAGCACATGTGTCGTTTGTTGTCCACAATTTTGAGACACTTCTCCAAGCCGTCGCAAGTATTTCGGCCCCAGCTGCTGGGCTTATACAGCTATCGAATGCTTAGGCGTAAGCACAGGTGTCCTTTGATCAGTTTGGTTAGAGCCTCCCACGAGCAATCAAGCAGTCCTGAGCTGCAACTGAGGTGTTCACGCCCATCAGGTGTGTGTTTGGAGGCAAGAACCACGCGAGCTTCCCGCGTAAAACGCGCACAGCGGCAAGCCCCAGCTGCCTTTGCGTTGCCCGCGTGTTTTCAACGCCATGGCGGAGCCGCTTGCCATGGGTGAGCCGCTGGCCGAGTCCCACTGGCGGTACCAGCGTCCTGGCGGAGTCGGGCGGTTCCCGGCGGTTCCCGGCGGTTTCGGGCGAGTCGATTGGCCGAATCGCGAGACGGTAAGAGGCGGCAAGTGGCTTTTCCATGAAATCTACAACAGGTGATCGACCTTTTGCTCGTTTTCTTTTGGGGGGCATGAAGCAAGCCAGGGTATCCATTTTTTGGTGGGAAGCTTCAGAACAAAAGCTGGGCGTGTCGAGTGCGATGCCGACCGTAGTCCGACGATGTGTCATGCCCCACTAAGCTTCTGAACGCTCAGGCAAACAGACCATGGTGCGCGCTTTTGGGAGAGTAAACGGATCGTGATTAGAAGAGGCTAATAGTTACACACCGTCCAGCACCCCCCAACCACTGCTTTTCAACTGGACAGTACTTGGCATTGGAAAAGCAGTTGTTGGGGGATGCTGGATATTCCCTGATCATTGGCTCAATTTCGCTTGAAAGTACCCCACAACCCCATTCAATTAACTTTGCCCGGTACATTGCGCAATGAGTAAACAGGTGGGTGGCCAGGAGGGCACGCCGTTCTGTCATATGCCTATTTTTGGGGGAACATGAGCTCGCCATGATGTAACAATGTAGGTCCTTTACTTTGGGATCCCTTGTTTTCTGGTTTGGATTTGCAGATTCGTACTCTCATTATTGTGTGGGCTCCAGGTTCGTGAATTATTGGAACGGGATCTGGGCACAAAGGATGCATCAAAGTCGGGGGACACTCAGCTATTCCTCCTTTTCCAGAGGAGCTAGTCTTCCAAAAGGGGTCGGATCCGAGGTCACCGTGTCGGGTACGACGAAAATATGAGGTCAATGGGTTTATGTTTGTTGTTTCTTTAAGGGTGACCTTTCTGGCTTGTTTTCGAATGGAACCCAAAATGAATCCACCAATTTTAGGGAGCCATTTTAAGACACCCCGAGGGTCCACATAAATCTGCCGGCTTCTACTCAGCACATGGATCTCCTTCTGAGACCCTGTTTGTTCAGGGTCCATACGCATCTGGGCAAAAGTCGGGGCCCCCTGAAGCATCACGCAACGATGAAACTCATCTAAGTGGCCCAACCCCAAAAGGTGACGCTTAAACTGAAAGAAATGACATTTTTCGAGCCCCCGCTTGCACAAATCCTAATCCCAGAAAAGGAGCATGCGCTTTTTCGCGCCCAAAGGAAGGTCGAACCCCGGGCCCAAGGCCCTTGGGTCTAAACCCTACCAGTTTGGAGCCCGGTTTGGTGGTTTGGAGCCCGGTGTAAGCCGGGTTCAAATCCAGATCCAAGCCACCAATCCAAGCCACCAACCTGAATGATTGTCCTTAGCACACAAGGTGTTCCAAAGCAAAAACACACCCCGCAAACTCCAAATATCGCAACCACTTACTCCAAAATACCTGGCATCATTGGAAGGTGTGCCAAATATGAGGTATTTGGAGCACATATGGTAGGTCTCCGTAGACAGGCTCGGCAGGCCATCCATAGGGAATCTCTCCCTTTTCAAAGGAATCTGTTTCACACCTGATTAAAGTTACTTTTTTTGCTCGGTGGTTTTCAAGTTGCGACCAAAACGAGTTCACCTGTTTGAGGGTACCTTTCTTGTGGTAGAGGTGAAATCCTTTGGTTTCACAAAAATCCATATTGGGGGTTCCGATTCCAAAAAGCGGATGCACCCCCAGCTCCTTTGTGCCACTTCGCTTTGGCCCAGGCCGGAGGGCAAGCGAGGCTTTGGCTTTGCGTGCTGCGCCACCCGCGTCAAACCCGGGTCGGTGGAGATGCCTGGGCCCCGCGACGAGGAGAGAAATCCGTGGCATTGAATGGCCGCATCCAAACTGCTGGCCAAGCCCTTTTGGTGTTCCCTTTAGAACCGCAAAAGTGTTTCAAGCCGCAACAAGTGGTGCCATCAAAAAATATCAAAGATCGGAATCGTTGCGAATTTCACGGCGAGAGACATGGGTGTGTGGTGCTTTTAGGCCTGGAAACTCTTTTCAGGTTGGTTGAAAGGGACTCCAAAAGGAAATGGCGCATTTTGTTGGGTCTCGTTACTTGCTCACATATAGTAGCCACTTTCTGTGACACCAAAGATCATTCCTACTACTTTGCCGCTTTTTCCGCGGAGGTTCCCTTGGTATCTCAGAAAGTGGCGACCTACCAAGCAATACATGTGACCAAGTAAGGAGACCCAACAACATGCGCCATTTCCTTTTAGTGATTACCTTTGACCCTGCCCCTAGATGGATGTGTCTTTTCTTTAGCTCGACCCCCAAAAATGTCGTTGTGCTTTTGGTTGCCCGTGAACAAAAAACGAGAGAAAATCACACGCCGCATGGGCGTATTATGTATTGTTTTGATGGTACCCTTCGGGTTGCTTCAAAGGGAAGCCCAAAGCAAGCCGAGCACCTCAGGCTTCCGTCGTTTTCAGAACCGCCCAGTCGGTTTCATGTCCACCCTATAGCCGCCGGTTGACTTCGAATGGGGGGGGGGGGGGGCGGATCACCTTTCACGGCAAGACTTCCCCACAATCGGGGTTGACATTCTTCTTGACTCCTTCCCCCCAATCAATCTTTGGCCTTTGGGCTCCTAGTTTGACGCATACCCATATCAATTCTTCCACGGGTAAGATTGAGACGTCTAGATATTTGGTCAGTCTCCTTTTGGCTGTTTTGGACCCACCCTGACACATTTCCACTTGTTCCCAGCCATACCCTCAGTCAGACTTCTAGTGCTTGCTGTATTTAGAGGGAATGGCGACATCTCGCGCGCAACCGCCAAGTACCCCAACACACAA